GTGTCGAGGTGGCAGGAATTAAGTTGGCCTTCACCACTGTGCATGAACGCTCCTTACACACTCATAAATATAATAAATTCCATCCTTTCCAACCTCCAGGTCCCAGGCTGTCTGTCTGCCTGACTCCCTCCTCTCTCTCTCTCTCTCTTTTTCTCAAATTCAGATTCATGCTTTATTATCATGCATGTAATACTCAAAGACAAACATATAAGTTGAGCTATACTTTCACAGTACATGGGTGATGGTGAGAACCAAAGAAGAAAAAAGGTGCAGTAAGAATCAGAATCTCTCCATGTGCTTGTACATTTGTCTCAGTCTCACTCCAACCTTCCCCTTCCCATCCCCCATCTCAGTTCTCCCTCACCCTCTCCTCTCTCTCCTCCTCCTGCTGCCCCCACCCCTGAGCCATGACCTCCCCTCCTCCTCCTCCTCCTCCTCCCACCCCGTTAGTAGTGTTTTGCCATCTCTCTCTCTTTACCTCAGTACCTCTCCATCCATCTCTCACTCTCTCCATGCAGCAGTTTGGACTCCACCCCTATTTCCCTCCCTCCCCCACCAAACAAATGCCACAGTCGATATCATCCACAGCCTCCTCTCTTTCTACACATTGCTTTCTTTTCCCTTTCCAGCCACAGCTTGTTTTCTTTTACTGTTGAGTCATTCTAATGACCTCCTCTTCCTCTTTTACCTCTTCTTCCCCTATCTCTATCCAGTCATCCTCATTTGGAGCTGCATTCTTTTTCTATTTCAATTAAATAGAGTCTTCCTGCTCTGTCTCATTCTGTTACTTTTTATAATCATCGGTATGCAGTTCCCCGTTCATCCCTTTCCATTGTTTTGTACTTCTCTGATGCTGGGGAAAATTTAATGCATATAAAGGTAGCTTTAATAAAACAGCAAGCCATAAATTGCGGTAAAATTGGAAATTCCATGTCTCTTGTCTTTGTGGAGGTAGTAATGCTTCAGTGTGTGTGCTTATGTGTGCATGTGTATCTGTGTGTGTGTGCATTTGGGACTATGGACCCCAGTAGTCTATTCAGGATGATAAAAGCTAACAGGCAGGCATCCATCGTGCCTGCCAGCATGCTTAGCACACACCGTTTATTCCATAATAACTTATTTAGTAACCTGTCTGCCTGGAAAAAAAAAATAGAGAGGAAACGAGCCCATCCGAACCTGCTACAGCAATAAATCACGAGGTATTTAACACCCCTTTTCTATAGTGCTTCTTGGGAGTAGTCCACTTGTGACTTTTTTTAATGAATTAATTTGAATAAAAAACACAAAGACAGCCAAACACAGACACACGGGTGTAATTTCCACTGGGGGTGCAGGCGACATGTGCCTCTCTTTTTTCAACATCCTCTTTCTGCCCCTCTTACTTTTATTGCTTCATCTGAATATTCTTACTATATATTATCTCACTAAACTGAGCCTTCTGATTATGCAGCCACCAAGATGAGAGAAGCGAGAATACTCTTTTAAGATGCAAATACAGGGTTATTCGGGAGGCTCCACTCCCAAAAACAGGCCCACTTGACAGGGTCCAGTTGGAGAGCAAGTGAGGATATCAGGCTTGGATAGTAGGTGTTTACGGAATAAAAGGGTTATTCATAAAGCAAGTGAGCTGTTTGGTCAACATGAGCATTAGTATGATAAAATAAAGATTCATTTTTAAAATCTACACTGTAATGTCTGAGAGCTTATGTGCATTATCTGCACACTGTAACTTGACCAGGCTAACGTGTTTTTCTTTGTTGAACCAGTTTTATCATATGAATAACAGTTTCATTGTCAGTGGTAAAAGACATTTAAGACTGAACTTCAAGGACAACTGGCTTAGATTGAGTATAATCTTTGACTTATTTCCCCTTTTGATACAGGATGAAAGCGCAGCTTTGCAAACAGACACGCACGTCAGCGAGCACTCCTTGAGCAAAACTCCTCGGTAAATTCTGCACTGCTAATACTAGTTTGCAGAATAGCAAAAGATCACCTAAGTTTGTTTGCTATTGAAATGAAATGTTTTCTGTTAAAATAGTGGGATCACAATAAAACAAAGGCATTACTCTACTATTTTAAACTTGACTTAGCTCGACCACAGCGTGCCCTAGTGTCTATAACATAGAGCCTCGATTTCCGAGCAGTACACTTGGACAATTTGTATATATTTCACCGTTCATAGCTCATTCATTTAAAATGTAGCATTATTTCTCTACATATGCATTTTTATTATAAACATACTATATTTTTAGCAAATTCTGGTTGATTGTCTTGTAGATGTCAAGTGGCTCGGGGGATTGGCTTCTTCCAAAGTTTGAGGCATTTTGGGTCATTTTATGGGAAAATGTAATACGACCTTTTAATATTCTGAGCCTTACCTTTCCCAGATTCATTTGTACAGCCCGGAGCAGTACAGATAATTCTCTTATATTTAATTTTACACTCGACAACACGTGGTGTTGCTATTTTCTCACAGATGTCCGCTATACTCTCTACACCGGAACCTATCTGGGCGCAAGGTATTATGGGATATTGGAATAGGGAGAATATATATTATAAACTGTCAAATCTATATAAAGAAAACAATATGATTTCCATTTCATTATTGTGGACATGGAAGCACAGCCAGTGTTGTCATATAATTTCTTATGTGCTAGACTGAGACACATAGATAGACCACATCCATCTCTCCCAGACAGTCACCACTGAAGGTGATCACCTGTAAGTTAGCTGAGTTAACCTGCAGTTATTGTAACTCATGGTTGGATGGATGGATAGATGGATAGATACAGTAGACAGATGGGTAGATAGATTAGTCAACACAGATTGTGTTTAAATAGACACATTGGCTACTTGTGGACTATTTGCTGGTTACCGTTGCGAACAGACTAGGTCAATGTTACCCGGCTTTTTAATTTATTAATATATCAACTTCACTGGTTTTACATTTTTGTGTGTTAAGCCCAGCTCAACCCAGGAATATGATTTTTTTTTTTCCAACAGGGCTCAAGAGACAAAAAATATAGATAAAAATTATTATATAATGATTTTACATTTTGCTTTTTTACCATATTACTCATACTGCAACTGGAATTATGCTTTACTGAAGATATGAAAATGTCTCTTTGGCCCTGCAAGATAAAGGTGCTATTGGTAACCATAAATCACAGAGGTTATGAGATGGAGAAGAAAACAGTAAATGTCATACAGGTTGTACATACAAGTGCAGCTGAACCAGCACATGAACATCTTCAAGCAACCTATGTGCTTGTGTGCAGTTTAAAAAGGCATCATTCCAGCCTTAGGGGTGTCCATTGATGTAGATGGCAACTTAGGCATTAGTGCCAGAACTTGACTAATAATATGGGAAGGGAACATGGAGCTAATTGCACATCTGTTGTAAGATAAAAGTTTCCGGTTCAAGTTTAATTTGAAATAGAGACTCTTGCCAGTGTACTAATAATGATGCTGCAAGGTTTATAGTGATTCAGATTAAGTGGAAGAAGGAGTGCTTAATGATGAAGTGAAGATGAGGAGGGAGGTCTGTTGAAGTGGGGGAGGGGCCTTTGTGATAATGCATGGCTGTTGCTGTTATTGTGTGGTCAGGCTGGGTGGATGGGTTTAATGAAATAAACAGATACTGCCCTCTGTACCATGCTCCACGCGATCTGGAACAGTACTCTCCACTACGGCTGAATGGAATCTGTTTCTCTCACTGCCACTGCATTTCACTCATAGCACTAAACCAGTCTGGTGTGTTGAAATTAGTAGTTTGTTTTTTTTTTTTTTTTTTTGGGGTTTTTTTTTTTTTTTTTTTGGGGTTTTTTTTTTTTTTTTTTTGGTTTTGGGTTGTTTTTTTGTTTGTTTGTTTGTTTTTTGGCTGCAGTGTTGTTGTATTCACACCGACTTTAATTATTGCATCACAGGAAGGTGTTAGCAGCTAGTATATAGCTAAAGTTCTGCTACACACACACAGTAAATCCAGGTGTGTGCGCACTGACATGAACACACATATATAACATTTAAAGTAAGTAAAGCTCATAACATATAAGTTCATTTTTGTTGAGACTGTGTTACAGAAGTCTTTATTGAGAACTAATCATTTCTGTGAATAATTAAATGTGAACAGAAGCAGAATAGATAGTTTGGAAGAATCTCATACCCAGATGTTGCTCCTTCATGAAGGAAGCATGCCATCTACTGGCAACTGAAAATAACCATGAGGTTTTTGTATAAATATACTCTACAGGGAATTTGTGTGTGTGTGTGTGTGTGTGTGTGTGTGTGTGTGTGTGTGTGTGTGTGTGTGTGAGGTCAACAGTAATAGATATATGAAATATGTTATGTTAAAGACCAGTTCATGCCAAGTAAGAGCTCTCTCTGTTATCAAGCATCAAAATGACAGATGTTGGAGCGTTTGCATACAAATGCATGCAAATTCAGTTATAATAATGACTGACAATAACACTGATATTGTGCATAAAGTGTGTATCTTATAGGCATTTTTAAATGCCAAAGTAAACACTAGAAGATTTTTTTTTGATTAACTTGTTTTTCCAGACCTTTTTCAAAAGTAGGTTCATTTAATATTAAGCTCATCCAGTTCTTATGAACAGGACTAGCCCAAGAGCACAGTATAGCGCTCATTCTGTCCTTTTTAAAAACCGGTGGAAAAAGACTGGGAATACTTATTTACTTTATTAGCAAGCGAAGAACAGAGGTTTATTTATTCATTTTTAATCTTTTTATTTTATTTAACCTTTATTTTACCAGGAAGTCCCATGGGGTGCATTTGTCACTGTGTCTGTGGTGTAATTGTGAGAAAATGTCCTTGGGTCTTCTGTCATATCCCTCAAAACACTAGACTCAGTCCAGTGCTCCTCTGATGCTGGAACCAGGCTGGGAAATAAACATCAACAATATGGAGCAACAACTTTGGAAATAGAAAAGAGTGTTTTTCAGTAAGTGAAATGTAACATTTCTGTCTTCTCTTTCAGATGATTCATCATCAGAGAGTGGCAGTGGTAATGGCCTGCCTGCCCTGACCCCTCCCTCTTCTGCTATAACAGATGGCACCATAGTCAGGGAAGCCGAAGTTGTCAATGGTAACGGTGGCCCTGCCCCAATGGACTTCAGCACACCTACTTCCTCCTCATCATCATCTGAGGACCAGCAGCCAATCAACCTGAGTGAACCACCCCCTCACTGTCTGCCCCTGTCAACCTCTCACTTGCCCGTCACTGTGTCAGCGGCAGCTGCAGCGCTTCTCGGCGCTCTGCATCCCAGTGCACCTGAGGAGCTCCGCAGAAAGTACCCACTGGCTGCCAAACCTCCCCTGGCTCCACACCTGGCCCTACCTCTGCCCCTGCCGCACAAACACACCCCTCACACACACCATGCACACGCTGCCAGCACCCACTCGCAGTCTCACGTGCACACTGCTGAGTTGCGACTAGACCGAGATGGCAAGGACTATGGAGGCAAGGTGAGAACACATGAGCAAATTACAGAACTCATAAATGATTTGTTTACAGAAAGATTTAGTAAAGAAGGTGTAGTCAGTCAGCACCTAATCCTGTTCTTTCAAAGTTTCACCTAGTTGAGTCTATTTGGTAAACATTCATCCATACATTCATTATTATCCTGCTCATGGACATGATGACTGAAGTCATTTACACATAGACAAAGCAAGGCAAGTTTATTTGTATAGCACATTGTCATACACAAAGGCAAATCAAAGTGCTTTACATAATGCATACATAAAAGTATTACAATGGGTGTGCCTGGATATACGAATGGTTACAGTGCAGTGCACCATGTACCAGGCGCTGTGTGTGCACGATATCGGTGGGTTGAGACCAACAGCCGACCTCTGTCGCTGGTCTCCCTGTCCTCCTTCCTTGTTTCTTGTGTATATATACCTAATAAAGGGCAAAATGCCTGAAAAATTTAATCATAAGAAAAAAACATTAAAAAGCTAATTAAAACAGTCAAGGCTGTTATAATTTTCATCTTAGAACTGTTATTATGCCATTTTATTAGGTTCTGATAGTTTTCCAGGCAGGAAAATAATTATCTAGTTTTCAAATATGTGGTCAATCTATCCAAGTAATGGCAATTACAAATTTGCTCTGATTTTTTCATAGAAGTGATGACCTGCTAACGTATCAGCTCGCTAGCTCTACTTAGCAGACATAGCTGTAGCCATAGCTCATATTACCACATTCAGTAACCTGTGGGCTACGTGATAAGATGTACAATGGGGTGGTTCACCTAATATAGCAGTTATATTACATAGTAACAGGCTCAAGGCCTCTGTCACCATAAATATTACCCTCTATAACACTCGTGAGAGAGAATTGGTAGCTAATGTTATGAATGAATGCAGAACGAGCAACTGGTGTCATCACATGTAAACATCCTGGTTCATCAGTGACAAGAAGGCCACGTAGTAATGACACATTTCTCTGACCAGTCGGTAGTCTGTTGTGTTTACACATCTCTGTTTGGTATTGCCTCAGCTGCTTAGGGCCAAAAATAGTACCAGGTACTATCCTCAACATTTGACTGATGGAAAAATGAATAAAGTAATTAGAGTCAAGCTGAGTTTGAACCAGGTGGGGGAAGCTGGGCTTTAGTTTCCAAGTGGAGCTGGTTCCAGCAGTGGGCAGCATAATGGTTAAAAGCAATTTCACAATTTCCACCAGCTAGCATGCAGATCTGAGACACCATGACTAACCTTAGCTTGCATGGAAGATTCATCATTAACATGAACAAATATGAATCTTTTTGATAAATAAGATATGAACCAATTTAGTGCAGTTCCTTTAATCCCAATAACATGTTTAAGTCTCTGCAGTAAGATGCTGTGATCAATGGTGTCAAAAGCAGCACTGAGATCTAAGAGGACAAGTATGGAGACAAGTCCTTTATCTGAGGCTAGGAGAAGATCATTGGTGACTTTCACCAATGCGGTTTCTGTACTATGATGGACTCTAAATCCTGACTGAAAATCCTCAAACAAATCATTCTTGTGCAAATGGTCACATAACTGCTTTGCAACAGCTTTTTCAGGGATTTTAGAAATAAACAGGAGATTGGATATTGGTCTATAATTAGCTAGGACACCTGGGTCAAGAGTAGGCTTTTTGAGTAATTTCATTACAAAATCACATTTAATTACTACTCCCCAACACTCCTAACTTTGTAACTAATATTAGTGTAGATAGATTTTAAATGGCTGTGATGAGGATTTAATCAATTTTAAAGTAACCCTGCTATAGGTAGTAGTTATCATTTACACTCACTGGAAAGAAGCTCCTGAAAATATATTTTTTGTGAAGAAGACTCAGCTGAGTGTAGAAGAGTGATGTTACTGAATATGCTGTAGCATTTATTGTCAACAAGGTGGAGGTTATGATATAAAGAGACTGCTAGCAAAGGGAAAAAGTCATTTAGCGTTTCACTGGGACTTCCATTAATATAGGATGTCCTTCCTGCTCTTGTCTACACACATTCAGCTTAGTTGGAGAAAACAGAGTCCTTTCTCTTTCAGAAGAAATGATCTATTAGAGTAAACATGAAACATTTCAATTAGTTAATTGCCACATTCATATTGTCTAATGTAGGGTATCTTTGTTAAAATATGAAAGGTGTACACAATCATTTGTAAAGAGAGGCCACCAAATGAAGTAAAACATAAAAAGATGGATGTAAAAGGGAGGAGAGATGGAGAAAAGAGGTGCATGGTTAGAGGAGATCTCTCTTTTGCCTTCCCTCCTCTTGCTGTCTTTGTACAGAGCTGTATAGTAGAGCCTGATAAACAATACACACCAGCCTTGGAGGAAACATACTGCTGCCAGCCACACTGGAATATAGAAGTACAGCTGCATACAATACTCAAACATTCAGACACAAACACCACACGCACACAACAATAACTTCAGTCTCACATTTGGGCTCTTTCACACTCCTCATATCAACAAATAGTTTGCTTTCACACTTTCTCTCTAGCACACACACTTTTACGGTTCACAAGGGGGCGTGTGTTTGGGGGTGGGGTATTTCACTTCAGCTCTCACCAACATTTTTTTGTTTCTCTTCATACCTTTGCTGTGTTTGTGAATTCTTTTCTACTTTTATGTGCATGCGGCTTTGCAATAGGTCTATCTCCATTTATACTGTACTTAATATTTTTCTGGGTTTGACTACTGTATGGGGCATGGGTCCAGTGGTAGTTTGTTCCTCTTTTGTGCTAGCAATACATAGCCAAAGGCGTTGTGTTTTCACGTTCCCATTCCTGTGAACTTCACTGGTCGGCAGAGGCATACAGTCACCAAGCAGTAATTCTAGTGTGTTTATGCATCTGTCTGGTCAGATTAAACTGTTTTCTGTTTCTGTTCATCTGTAGTTTAAAAGAAGTAGTGCTATCAGAAATGTAGTGTTGCACTGGCCTTTATCAGCCGAAGCTTTCAACTAGTAGCACTCTTATGCATACAGGATCCCAGTCATGTAAATGTTTAGTAGTGGAGAAAGGGAACTACATACATTTACTCAAACACTATATTTGACTATAATATTCAGCTAATGTACATGTACTTTAGTTTCTCCATTTTCTGCTACTTTACACTCCTATTTTGTTTAATTTTAGAGGTGCACTTTTTACCTCCTTTTTATCTGACAGCTGGCTACTAGTTGTGTGTTTACATTAAAAATGTCAATGTAAAAATGTCTTATAACTATACAAAACCCAACATACGCACTGGGGCCCTTTGTTACAGATTTCAGATGTCTATGAGTTGTTAGCAGTTCCTCTCTAAACTGCTCTGATTCAGCAGCGCATTTAAATAACCAGTCAATGCCCAAAAAGATAAAATTCTATATTCACTAAAAACAGTAATGAGAGAAAGGTGAAATTGAGCTTTCAGGTCATAGTACTGCCCTGAACCATCACAGCCTGCTAATAAATCTGCAGTTAGGTGTAGGTCAAGACAAAGGATGGAGACTACAGTATGGAGATTCCCATTGGCCATCAGGGTTGCCCAAGCAGGTGTTACACATCTAGATGAATGGTT